AACAGAACGCGCGATACGGCTGAGGATGTAAGAAAAGAAACTGGACTGAGGATTAGTTGATATCATTACAGGCTGTTCTCTTCGCCACAGTAAAAGCGAATAATGAGATGAGAGGAGAATAAAAGTAATGAGAAATAAGGTACACTGAGAATAAACACACACACACACACACACACACAGAGAGAGAGAGAGAGAGAGAGACAGAGAGACAGAGAGACAGACAGAGACAGAGACAGAGACAGAGAGACACCAGAGACAGAGACAGAGAGAGCCGAGGCAGAGCCGCGACACCTTCCGAACGCCGAACGACCCCTGTTCTCCACCCCCCCGCACCGCGAGAGCTCGACCCTTCCTCGTTACTCTCCCTTTGCCAGCTCCTGTCGTCAGACGTGGAGACGCGAGGGGCTAGCCTGGCCCTTGCCCCAGCCACCACCTCGTGTGTGTGGAGACGTGTACCTTACCTTACCTTACTCTCCCTTCCCTCCGACCCCCCGCAGCCACTCAGTGCGTCGGCTGTACGACTCGACAGCCTCGCTCGCTGGCTCAGTCGATGGCCCGGTGCCGCTGCTCCTCCTCGGATGCCTCCTTGTCCTGCTGCTGCTGCTGCTGATCGCGTCTGATCTGGCCGAGCGGGCGGACAGCCTGTCTGATCTGGCCGAGCGGGCGGACAGCCTGGGGGAGGAAGGCTTGACGTGAACCTTATACCTTACCTTACCTCTTCGTCCCGCCTTGACTTCGCCTGGGGTCCATGCCCGAAGCCCACCTGTGAGGAGAGGGTAGCGGCCATCAACCATCATGGTTTGCATAACGTGAGGTGCATGCATGGGCGACTACGTATACCATACAGCCAGCTAAGGTGGGGACGTGTCTGTCCTCCCCCAGCTAGCTTGGGATGTCAGTTCTCTTCGCACACACACTACAATATACCTACGACACTACAGCGTACGCTGTAGGTTGATTGAAAAAAAGACCCTGATCTCGGTAGTGGGGGAAATGGTCCACTAAAACATTCATTTTCCAAGCCCCAAACCCAAACTGGATCTCGAGGCGATCCGACGGTGATTTCGTTCGGCGTCACGATGACGGGTGAGGAACCGGTAGATCGCTCCTCGAGGCATGGAAGCGATGGATGTTTGCACTGCTCGGGGGCCTCAGGGCCCGGACTGCTTGGCCCTGGCCCGGAGGCCCGCCGAGCCGAGGAGGGCGCAGAGCGAATCGGCAACTGCCGTCATCTCATTGGCCATGCGCTCTCAGTGCGAGGCTCCCCAGGTTTCCTGTGCAGTGTTAATGCGCGATTAACCTATGTATATGTCCCGAGCCTCGTGTGAGGGTCGAGAGACGACGCGGCGCGTGGCCCGTGGGCTGGCGGGGACGAGACCGCGCATCATATCGTGTATAATTATTGCCAAACCCAAGAAGCCTATTTTCGGCGCGCCCTCGACACATCACCTCGACCGTACCGCCGCTCGCCCCCGGATCGACTCGTCGGAGCCAAAGTGCTCGAGCAGCCCCGGGGCCCGCAACGGTGGGGGCCGACTCGCTTGTCCCCTCGACGGCGACGGCGGGGACATGTCTGGGTAGGCGCCTGGGAGGAAGCGTGCGGCGCGTGCGATGGGAAGCGGTGGGTGCTTCGAAGAGCTGCGGGACTGGCTGACTGAATGCGCATCTAGGGGCTGGCTGCGGTTGCTCGCATTGAACGACGCGGCCGGTGGCAAGCCTACGGAAGCAGAGACACGCGGCGCTGACGGGCGTGCTGCACCCGGCATGCCCTCTGCGGCCACAAGTGACAGGCGCCGCACCCGCCGTGCGTGACAGATAGGCGGCCACGGCCGCCTCCTGGTGCTTAGTCGGGAGTTTTAGAGCTCAATCACGCGCGCCCCGCACGACTCACTCTCTCAACCACCCACTGCCACTCATCTCGTCGTCGTCCCGGACAGCGAGCTGCGGAGTGAAAGCGTCTCTGCTGTCTGCTCACGAAAATAATGAATTCACAGATTTAGCATTTACACGCACACGTGTGGGACGTGAGACGTGTCTCACGTCTAGCACGCGCGACGGGGCGGCAACATGCTGAACTACAGAGGTGGCATCGCAATCACCCCCCCGACTCTCCACGACTCTGAGCCTCGTCTGGCGCTGCCGCGCCGTAGCCCGCCTCGGCCAGACAGAGCCCGATCGCGGGCGCGGCGGGTGCGGTGCGGTGCACATCGCCACACGTCGCGAGGTCGAGCAACGCGAGTTCGTCGCCGGGCCGGCTCCGCGCCGCGTGCACCGCCGTCGCCACGAGCGTGCGAACCTGCCGGCGCAGAAACCGGTCGCCTGCGACGTCGAGCCGGACCGCCTCCGCCCCGCACGGCAGCGCGACGCGCGACGCGGCGGCGGCGAGGATGCGCGTGGACGGGTCCTTCCCCTTGGGCAGTCCGCGGCCGAGGGCACGGTAGTCGCGCGCGGCGCCCGCCAGCGGCTTGAGCAGAGCATCGAGCGCCTCCGCCGGCACGTCCCCGCCCGGGCTCGCCGGCAGCAGGTAGGTGTACCGCCGGCGCGTGGCGGCGAAGGTGGCGTGGAAGGCGCGCGGCACCCGACGGGCGGCGCGCAGGACGAGCGTGCGCGGCGCTGGCGCCGCCTCTGCGACCGCCGCGTGCAGCTGCTCTGGCGAGAGCGGCACCCACGAGTAGAAGGTGACCAGCTGGCCGGTGGCGGAGACGCCGGCGTCGGTCCGTCCGGCCGAGGAGAGGAAGAGGCCGTGGTGCGCCGAGGCCAGCAGCGGCTCCAGCGCCGCCTGCAGGCGGCCCATCACGGTCTCCTCGGGAGCTTCGGGCTGCCACGCAAAGCCGCGCCGAAAGGCGGGCCCGTAGTACGCCAGCGAGAGCGCCCACGTCTCTCGCTGTTTTGTGCGCCCGCCCGCCGGCGGCGGCGGCTCCTCCGGGAGGCCGGAGGGCATCGCGAGGCACTGGTCGCCTGGCAGCGGCGTCCCGTGCCCCACCGAGTCGCGAAGCGCTCGTCCGACCGCCTCCCAGTCGCGACCGGCCTCGAGGAAGGCCTGAGCCTCTCGCTCCCAGCCGTCGGCGAGCGAGAGGCGAGCAGCTGGTGAGTCGATGCATGATGACGACCGCAGAGAGCGGTGGCCAGAGGATGTGAGCAGCATGGCGAACTCGCTCTGAGCCCAGTTATACTGTACCCGGGTACTCGAGTAGCCGGGCACCTGCTGCTCCACGAGACGGCGGTCTCGTGCGGCAGTAACGCGGGAGGCGAGCCCTCGGTCCACTCCGTCGGGTACTCCAGCCGGGGCGGCGTTGGGTTCCCCAGGGTCCGTGTGGGTCCGTGCGGTGACGGCCACGCCGGCGGCGGGGGTAGAGGCGGTGGCAGGGGAGGAGGCTGCGTCGATCGCCGGCCGGCGCAGTGCTGCTCTGACCGCTCCGCCGGGCCCCCTCCGGGCCGCCGCCGCGGAGACGTGCACATAGCTCATAGGCAAGTTGGTATTTTCATATATTACATATATGAACTTTGAAATACCATTGGCTAATCTAATTCTACTCATCACGACTCGCCAGAAACACCTCTGCGGAAGGCGCTTCCCCCTTGCGTCGCTTTTTGCACTGGCAAGACACAGCCATGGGAGATGAAATGCGCTTGGGGAGGCTGCTTAGGGTGCTCGGAATGCTACATCCCGCCCCCGTCGCCGCCCCCGTCGCCGCCCAGCCCGCCGCCGCCCTCGCCCCCATCACCCAGCCCGCCGCCTCCGTCGCCGCCACCTCCCTCCTCGCCGCCGCCCTCACCGCCACCGCCGCCGCCTCCGCCGCCCTCGCCGCCGCCGCCCTCGCCGCCGCCGCCCTCGCCGCCGCCCCCGTCGCCTCCCCCGTCGCCGCCCCCGTGCGAGTCTCATTGCGCCAGCAAGACGCAGGCCTGGGCGAGGAAGTGCTCCTGGACTGGCTGCAGTGGCTGCTCGGAGTGCACCGCGTCCCCACCTTTGCCGCCACCGCCGCCCCTGTCTTCTCCATCGTCGGCTCCCTCCTCGGCGCCTTCTTCATCGCCAAGCGCTGCACCATCCTCGTCGCCGAGCTCCGCTCCCTACTCCGCTCCCTCCTCTTCGCCCTCGTCAGCTCCCAGCTCTGCCCCGTCGTCGTCGCCCAGCGCCGCACCCTCCTCTCCTTCACCAAGCCTCCCCCCATCCAACCAGCCAGCCCCGGTGTGCAACTCATTCTGCGAGGGCAAGACGCAGGCCTGGGATGACAAGTGCACCTGGGGGGGTTGCAGCGGCTGCTCCGAGTGCCTGCCCTCGTCCCAGCCGCCGTTGGTGCTGTCCACCACACCGCCGCCTCCGACGCCACCACCGCCGTCGCCCCCAACGGTGTGCAACTCATTCTGCGAGGGCAAGACGCAGGCCTGGGATGACAAGTGCACCTGGCGGGGTTGCAGCGGCTGCTCCGAGTGCCTGCCCTCGTCCCAGCCGCCGTTGGTGCTGTCCACCACACCGCCGCCTCCGACGCCACCACCGCCGTCGCCCCCAACGGTGTGCAACTCATTCTGCGAGGGCAAGACGCAGGCCTGGGATGACAAGTGCACCTGGCGGGGTTGCAGCGGCTGCTCCGAGTGCCTGCCCTAAGCCCCGGGCCCGCCATCTGTCCCGGAAAACGGATTCCTGGACGACTCTGTGCTCCTGGACGGGCTGCGGCGCCTGCACTGAATTTGCCGCCCGCACCCTCCTCTGCCCCGAGCTCTCCGCCTTGACAGTGCGCCGCGGCCCGCCTATGGGCCCGCCGCCGGCCTGGATCGAGACACACACGAGCGAGAACTTGAGGGCGCACCGCAGCGCGCAGGGGGCTGCCGTGGGCCGTCGCCCGTGGCTGCGTGCGCGGGCGCCTCGAGAGTGTGAGCTGACCAGTGCGTGTGTCGAATGCTATTGTCTACTGCTGAGAATTTCACGCGCCGCGTTAGCCTAAAACAAAGATACGAACCGGGGCTGCCGGGGCACCACATCTGTCATCTCTATCGAGATACCGCAGCCCTCCCACTTCTTACTCCAGGCCGGTTTGTGGGCTTGGGGCAGAACCCGTTGCACGCGCCGTGCACACGAGCGGGCTGCATCACCGCTCTCAGACATGCTCGCACTCTGTGGCGTTGTGGCTATGCCACTTTCCCGCGCCACCGCCCACCCCTCGTACGGCTGTGTGAGCAGCTCCCCGGCGGGACCTCGAGGGACTGCACGCGCGCCCGCGCGGCGCGGGGCCCATCCCACAGCCACGATCGCTCACAAGAGAACGCACGCCCCAGAGTACGAGAGACCCTTCCCCATGGTTGCCACTGCGCCAGCTGTCCGTGCGCGCGGGCTAGGCCGCCTCCCGCGCCCTGGCCCTCGCAGCGGCACCTGACGCGCGCCTCGCCTTGGCTGCGGCGAGCGCCGCCTCTGCCGCCGCTACTGCCGCCTCGGCCGCCGCTACTGCCGCCTCCTCCTCCGCTGCGGCAGCCTCCTCTTCCTCTGCTGCTGCCACAGCCGCAGCCTCCGCCTCAGCCTGCCAGCGCGCCTCCGCTGCCGCCTCCGCTGCCGCCTCCTCGCCCTCCTCCTCGCCCTCCTCCTCGCCCTCCTCCTCGGCCGCCTCCGCCGTCTCCTCCTCGCCCTCCTCCTCGCTCGCCTCGCCCGCCGCCTCTCCCAGCGCCTCCGCCAATCCCTCGACCGACGTCTCCGCCGTGATGCCGAACCGGATCCTGTCCTCGTGGAGCTCCGCGAGAAGCTTGAGCAGCCCCTCCTTGTCCAACGGCGCGGGCTTGGCTGCCGCCGCCTCTGCCGGCGCCTCAGCCTCCTGCGACGGCCCAGCGCCGCCGCTCCCGCCGCCCTTCTTCTTCTTCTTGCCCTTCTTGCCCTTGGCGCGCTTCTCCGCCTCGACCTCCGCCAGCAGCTCGTCGGCGTGCCGCGCCGCCTCCTTCTCCGCCGCCGCCCTCTCCGCCGCCCTCTCCGCCGCCCTCTCCGCCGCCCCAGCAGCCCACGCCGCCTCCTTCGCCGCCTTCTCGGCCGCCTTCTCGGCCGCCTTCTCGGCCGCCGCATGCTCCTTGAGGGCGCGCACGCACTCGGCGTGGCCCTCCTCCTTGGCAATCTGCAGCGCCGTCATGCCGCTCGAGCGCAGCTTCATATCTGCGCCCGCCCGCAGCAAGCGAAGCACGACGGCGGGGCAACCCCCGAGAGCGGCGGCCATCAGAGCGGTGTCGCCGTCGTTGTCCTGCATGTCGATCTCCGCGCCGTGCCGGATCAGCGTGTCGACAACCCGCTCGTGGCCGCTGTAGGCGGCCTCCATCAGCGCAGTGCTGCCAAGCTTGTTTTGCTGGTCAATCTCCGCGCCGTGCCGCAATGCCAGCTCGACCAGCTTCTTATGGCCGTTCACAGCGGCGAGACCCAGCGCAGTGCCGCCTTTGCTGCTCTGCATCGAGACATCCGCGCCGCGCCGCAGAAGCGCCTCGGCCAGCTCCGCGTGGCCATTGGTCATTGCAACCATCAGCAGCGTCACGCCGCTCTCACGAGTGCCGCAAACAAAGGTGCACTCGGTCGACCCACCCGCCGCCGTCGAGCCACGCCAGCACCGGCTCCTCATCGCCATCCTCAGCCGCGTCCATGACCTCCTTTGGCCCTGCCTCGCTGCCCGGCGCGGCCCCCGCGCCCTCGCCGCTCGAAGCAGAGGCCGCCGCGGCACTGGCTCCCGCCTCCGCCTCGCCTGCGGGTGCGCCGCCCGCCCCTGCGCCGCCCGCCTCGGCCGACGGCGCCTTGATCCGAGCTGCCGTCACCTCCCCGAGATACGTCCTGAAGGCCTCGACGCACTCGGCGTGGCCCTCCTGCTTGGCAATCTGCAGCGCTGTCTCACCGTCCACGGCAGCGCGAGCGGCGCAGCAGTAGCCGCCGTTGAAGCGTGCCCGCGCCGGGATGCGGCCGAGCCTGCCTTCGCGGTCCGGCCGGGCATACAGAGGGGCGGGGTTGCGGATGCTGAGCGCTCCTCTCTTCGGCGGTCCGGTCCCGCGCTGGGCTTCGAAAAAAGAATTTGGTGGCAGAACACTGGGCACGGGACTGGCTCGCACTGGCACTAACACAGGTACACCACGTGAGTGTTGTGCGAAAAAAGAATTTTGGAAGCAAACTCCCTCGCTTATACCGAAACGGAAATTCAGAGCGTCATAAAGAATTTACAACAAACTGCCTCTCACGACACTAGGCACGGGACTGGCGCGCACTGGCACTAACACAGGTACACCGCGTCATAAAGAAGTGCGCCAACCGGGCGACGCACTGCATGCAGGACTTAAGAGTGCGCGACGAGAAAAAGAATTTCACAACTAAGAAAGAATTGAGGACGAACGTCCCGTGGCGTTACACCTTCGGCGTCGGGGCGCAATGGGCTGCCATGCGAGCAGGCCGCAGGAATACGACGACCTTGCCGGCCTGGCCAGTGCCATCAGCAGCGGGCTCGAGGAGGAGCGGGCAGAGACAACCATCCCAGCCAATGCCGAAGCGGCGCCGGCCGCCGCCCTCCCCTCCGCTACCGATCTCGGCGTGGACGACGAGAGGCTGGCGGAGTGGCGCAAGCTCGGCGGCGGCGACCTGGAGCCGGTCCTCACGAGCGGCGCCGTCGCCCTCCTCGACGCGCAGTGGATCATCGGCCACGCCGAGGCGGGCGGCGTCCTCACCCACCGCCAGGCGCTGCCCAAAGAGGCCTTCTTCTCCCTCGCTGACCTCGTCGAGGCCACCATTGGGTTTGGCACGTTTGGCAGACTTCCCGTCGCCGCGCTCTCCTACCCGTGGCTGACCAAGGACCACCCCGACCCGCGCGGAGCCAACCTCGCCCGCGTCGCAAGGGCGCTCAAGGCCCTGCTCAGTGACAGTTCCGGCAATAACAGGCTGCGGCTCGGCGTCTTTTGGGACTTCGGCTCGCTGCACCAGCACCCCGACCCCGCCAACGGCGTCGAGCGCACCGAGGAGCAGAACGCGCTCTTCAAGCAGGGGCTGGGCTGCCTTGGCACGCTCTACTCCCACCCGCGCACTTGGGTGCTGCGGCTGACCTCCTTCCCGGACGGCCACAAGGCGGAGGACCAGGCCGAGGGCACCAACGTGGCCAAGTACTTTGACCGCGGCTGGTGCTTCACAGAGCAATGCTGGGCGAGCCTTACCAAGTCCGGCCGCCTCTCCCTCGACCTCGGCAAGATGCGCGACGGCGTGGAGTACACCTGGGGCGGCCTCATCAGCGACTGCACCAGCAATGGCGGCCGGCGCCCTCCGCTGCTGCCGTCTGCGTTCGCGGCGGAGCTGGAGATGAAGGGCTTCACGAACGGCAAGGACGACAAGCCGCTGGTGAAGCGGCTGTACGAGGCCGCCTTCGAGGAGCAGTTTGGCAAGGCGACCAAGCTGCACTACCAGCGCCTCGGCTGGGGCGACGCGGAGGCGGCGCAGCTGGCGGAGGTCCTCGCGAGCGGGGCAGCGTCGCGGCTCGAGACGCTCCAGCTCTTCGACAACAAGATTGGCGACGATGGCGGCAAGGCACTGGCCGCCGTCCTCGGCAAGGAGGGGGCAGCGCCGCGGCTCGAGGCGCTCAATCTCGAGTTCAACAAGATTGGCGACGAGGGCTGCAAGGCGCTAGCCGCCGCCCTCGGCAAGGAGGGGGCAGCGCCGCGGCTCGAGACGCTCGATTTTAGCTTCAACAAGATTGGCGACGAGGGCTGCAAGGCGCTGGCCGCCGCCCTCAAGGAGGGGGCCGCCCCGAGCTTGAAGGCGCGAGACGCCCCCCTCGCCACACGCCCCTCCCCCGCCCAATGCCCATCGCGCCTCCCCTCGCGTGCAGACGCTCTTCGTGGACAACACGAAGCAGCCTGAGCTGGCGGCCGTGTGCGAGGAGCGCGGCATCGACCTCTCTACTGAGAGCCTCTCCAGCCCCGGCCGGGCGGCAAGGGCGCGGGGCACGGCGGGATCGCCGCGCGAGCACGGCAGAGAGCGAGCATGACAGAGAGCGTACAGACCCTGCGGCTGCGGTGCAAGCGACGGTATTTTATATAAATTCTTTTCGCAACGTAAATTCTTTTTTCCGGCCCCTTGGACACGGCCGCCCGTCGCAAGCCCCCCCCCCCCCCCTTTGCTTGGCAATGCCAGCCGTCGGCCCCTGTGTCCCCAGGCCGCCTGAGCAAAATCGCGAACGGCCCGAGCAGAGAGGGCGACGGCGGAGCACGAGGGAACAACGGAGACGCTACCGATGACGCGAACCGAGGCACGGGCGACGACGGGGGCGGGGAGGGCGACAGCGACGTCGAGGTTGACGCAACGGTATCGAGAGCGCCACCCAAAAGGATGCGGACAGCCATGGAGGTCACCGAATGGAGGGCGAACGGCACGATACGAAAAGGCAGGGCGAGGCGGATGGAGAAAGAAGTGCCGAGGAGGCCATGGTGGAGGGGAGGGACGGGAGGACGAAAGAAGGGCGAGGAGGACGAGCGGCCCGCACAGGCCGCGAGCAGACAGCGCCTGCTGGCCATCTCGAGACATTCGCAAAGAACGCTAGCTACATGGGAGGGCTTCGTGAAGGATGGATTGAAAAACATTCGAACAAAGAAGAGGCGACGGGAGGAACCGGCAGAGGATGCAGTGACGTGACACACACACACACACACACACACACACACACACACACACACACACACACACACACACACACACACACACACACACACACACACACACACACACACACACGCACACACACACACACACACACACACACACACACACACACCGCTCACCCACGCGCACCGGGCCTTGCACTTTAAATGCCGTGGGGCTCCTGTCGTTAGACGTGGAGACGCGAGGGTTGCCCCCCCTTGCCCCACCACCTCGTGTGTGTGGAGAAGTTTACCTTACCTTACCTTACCTTAGGCCGCCTGCCGGCCCTTGCCCGCCGCATCAGCCGATCCGCGTCGGAGCCGATCCGCACGCCGTGCGCCCGCGTGCAGCAGGCGGGCCGGCGGTACATGTCCCGCCACCCTCCGCGCGGCTAGCCGCCGCGCGCGCCTCGAGGATAGGGGATAGGCGGGACAGCACACATACATACTTTGATGTCGTTGAGCGAGATACACTATAGCCCACTCTCATGTCCCCGATCTTGGTGTGAGTCGGGAAGGGACGGACAGGTCGTTTGGGGAGATCTTTTGTTGGATGATCTGTTATGAGGAGGAGCTTTCAGCCAGACGTACACACGACACACGACCTTGCACGGACGACGGGTCCACACGCACACACACGCTGCGCACGATTGGCTTGCTTGAGAGCCGACATGAGACACACTTTCACCGGCCGTATCTGTTCGTGGAATCTGGTATCATGCTCATGGTGCATGGAGAGTCTAACGGTAAACGCATGTCCGTAGCATCGCGCCATTCTCGCCACGCCGCATCCTCCTGCAGTGCTCCAAGACCAAGTGCGAGACCGAGAGTGCTGCCCCGTACGCGGTAGCGAGGTGTACGAGGTAAGGTAGGTAAGGTTAACTTCTCCACACACACAAGGTGGTGGGGCAAGGGGGGGCGTCCCTCGCATCTCCACACCCGGACACGGGCGGGAGCCCCACGGCATTCAAAGTGCAAGCACTGGCCCGGTGCACGTGGGTGAGCAGCCTGCCCCTCCCTCCCGACAAACCAACTCCCGCACACACACAATCGCACTCTGGCCATCGAATGACTCCCACTTCGCACGATCTCGCCGTGGGGTTCCCCACTGCCGGGGGATTCCCCACTGCCTAGAGCCTATAGAGCCTCTCAATCGGACGAGACGGGCTCCGGGCCGCACGCGGCCGCGTTGAGCGCCGAGATGGCGGTGAGGGTGATGGAGCACGCCTCCTCGTTCTTGCGCAGGGCGTGCAAGCCGCCAAAGGGGAGACTCTTGCCCTCGCCCGGCGCCTTCAGCTTGACCTCCTCCGTCAGCGAGTAGAAGCGGGGCGTGAGCCCCGGGAAGATGCCAAACTCGAAGTAGTCGTCTCCGCCGCCCTCGAAGGCGAGCGGCTGCTTCGTGCTGCAGTTGGAGGTCGCCGTGAAGGAGAAGGTGTACGTCTCGCCCTCCTTCCAGCGCGAGGTCAGCTCGACCGCGTCCGGAGTCGTGTAGGTGAGCGGCTCCTGCGCCGCAACAGAGATGGGGAGATGTGGGGAGATGTGGGGAGATGTGGGGAGATGCCGCGGTCCGCATCTAGGCCTCGAGAGATGGGGAGAGATGGCAGAGAGATGACAGAGAGGGGGGGAGATGCCGCGGTCCGCATCTAGGCCTCGAGAGATGGGGAGAGATGGCAGAGAGATGACAGAGAGGGGGGGAGATGCCGCGGTCCGCATCTAGGCGTGCCGCTCCCACGGCCCGCTGATGCGCAGCGTGTCGTACGAGGCCCACAGCCGGGCCTGCGCGCGGCTCGTGGCGAGATTAGCCGAGGGTAGCCGAGGGTAGCCGAGGGTAGCCGAGGGTAGCCGAGAGCAGCCGAGGGTGTAGCCGAGAGTAGCCGAGAGTAGCCGAGAGTAGCCGAGAGCAGCCGAGAGTAGCCGAGGGTAGCCGAGGGTAGCCGAGAGTAGCCGAGAGTAGCCGAGAGCAGCCGAGGGTAGCCGAGAGTAGCCGAGAGTAGCCGAGGGTAGCCGAGAGTAGCCGAGAGTAGCCGAGGGCGGGCCTGCGCGGGGCTCACGGCGTCGACCGCGCGAGGCCACGCATTGCCGGCCACGCCGCAATGCCGCGGGGGTTGGCCGTGGCCCTCGCCGACGTACGTGGCGCCCAGCGAGACGAGGAGGGCGAGGAGGAAGCCGGACCTAGGACGTGTCTAGGACGTGTCTAGGAAGTGTCTAGGAAGTGTCTAGGAGGGCGAGTGAAGACGAGGGGATGCGGTGAGTAAGGCCGGGGAGCACAGCGGAGGCCGCGTCCTCTCGAGCGCCAGTTGGAAGACACAGACACGCGTTCCGCTTCTAGGAGGCCGGGGACATGCCCGCCACGCCCGTGAGCACGGTCGAGTGCGAGCCGCCCACCATCTCGCTCGCCTACGGGACGTGTCCTAGAGGTGTCCTGGACATGTCCTGGACACGTCCTGGACCCGCCCACCATCTCGCTCGCCTACGGGACGTGTCCTAGAGGTGTCCTGGACATGTCCTGGACACGTCCTGGACCCGCCCACCATCTCGCTCGCCTACGGGACGCGTCCTAGAGGTGTCCTGGACATGTCCTGGACACGTCCTGGACCCGCCCACCATCTCGCTCGCCTACGGGACGTGTCCTAGAGGTGTCCTGGACATGTCCTGGACCCGTCCTGGACACCATCTCGCTCGCCTACGGGACGTGTCCTAGAGGTGTCCTGGACATGTCCTGGACCCGTCCTGGACACCATCTCGCTCGCCTACGGGACGTGTCCTAGAGGTGTCCTGGACATGTCCTGGACACGTCCTGGACCCGCCCACCATCTCGCTCGCCTACGGGACGCGTCCTAGAGGTGTCCTGGACATGTCCTGGACACGTCCTGGACCCGCCCACCATCTCGCTCGCCTACGGGACGCGTCCTAGAGGTGTCCTGGACATGTCCTGGACACGTCCTGGACCCGCCCACCATCTCGCTCGCCTACGGGACGCGTCCTAGAGGTGTCCTGGACATGTCCTGGACACGTCCTGGACCCGCCCACCATCTCGCTCGCCTACGGGACGTGTCCTAGAGGTGTCCTGGACATGTCCTGGACACGTCCTGGACCCGCCCACCATCTCGCTCGCCTACGGGACGTGTCCTAGAGGTGTCCTGGACATGTCCTGGACACGTCCTGGACCCGCCCACCATCTCGCTCGCCTGCGGGGAAGGGTCCGAGAAGCTTCAGGGCAAGGGCCGAGAAGCGTGCGAGCCGTGCCCAGCGCATGCAAATCCCAAGTTATCGAGCCGGGGCTAGGGTTCGGTACCGGGCAGGGTAGGGTGTTGACCTCGCCTCGGGCAGAGTGTGTTGAAGAGATCTCGGCTCTCTCTCTCGGCGATAGCTCGGCTCTCTCTCGGCTAGACCTCGGGCAGGATGGTGTTGAAGACCATGGCCCCCATCATCCCGCCGCACACGCCCTCGATGAAGGCCTGCGCCGCCTGTGTCCCCCACTCCTCCTGCACGGCGGGGTCGAAGGCGAGCGAGCCGAGAAAGGCGCACCTGGAGGGGGGGATGTGGGGGAGATGCGGGGAGATGTGGGGAGATGTGGGGGAGATGTGGGGAGATGTGGGGAGATGTGGGGGAGATGTGGGGAGATGTGGGGGAGATGTGGGGGAGATGCGGGGAGATGCGGGGAGATGCGGGGAGATGCGGGGAGATGCGGGGGGAGATGGGGAGGGAGATGTGGGGAGAGGGGGGGAGAGGGGGGGGAGAGAGGGGGAGATGTGGGGAGAGAGGGGGAGCTGAGGGCCTACGGGTATTAGCCCCCACTCTAGTTGTATGGGTGTACTTGCAGTGCTGCAGCCTTTAGGCCCGTCACACACCTCCGCCCCCCTCAGTAGCCTGTCGTCTGTCATGGGCGTCGCTGCTACTACTTCTACCACCACTAGGACGGCCGCGCACCCGGAGATGTGGGGAGATGTGCGTGGCGGGTGGGGGTGGTGTGTGTCTC